TTACAGTTCTCTGAATATAGAATCAATTTTTTTATTGTTTGCCCTTTTCATTGCAGCAAACCCAGTAATTGAGAGAGAGAAATGTGTTGGAAAACGTGCTGCTGCACATATGCAGAGTGTTCTCAGATTTTTGAATCATACATGCCATTTAATAATCTGGTCTCCTGAAGGATTTGATAGCATTTTCAACTAGACATTTAGGAGACCAGAATGTGAACTGGGAAGTATGATATGTATGCTTTGTTCAAGGTGTTTGCTACTTGCTGATGTCAGGGACATAGTACTGTAGCTGGCTGTGCTTGACCTGATCTAGTATGGTTATTTTCATGTTAAAATGAATTTACAGTAGTTAGTTCTTTCCCTGACATGAGAACTAAGGATTGCCAAGTGAAATTGAGGTGATGTGATTCTGGAATTATCACCAGGGGATGCAGAGGAGGTCAAAAGTATGTGTTCAGAAAGCATCTGGGTACGTTCAGGAAGGCTTCAAGGTAGGCTACTAAGCATGTTGATGCAGGTAAAACCCCAGTTCATAAGTTTCTTAAGCTGATTCTTAACTTAATGACAACTGAGGTCAAGGAGAGCATCTTGGGGAATGATGTCTTTGTAAAAGCCCTTGAAAACATCTCCTGCAGGTACTGTCAGAATTGGGGTGCTTGGCTAGAAAAAACAGTATAGCATTTCTGACAGAGAGTGAACAAGATAATAATCTGACTCCTGGCTAAATACATACTTTTTGTTTGATTGTTTGAATTGCTGTGTTTGGCAGACTTGGAATTCTGTTGCTTTTTGAACTAATACTGATAACTCTTACAGCTTTTAACTTATTAAACATGGAGGTTGTTTACTTGTCCTTTAAAATGACTGAGATACTAGTGTACTGCAGGAGGATCTCTTGGCTGCCTTTCTGCCAGTGGTATTGTCTCTGCTAAATTATGGTAAAATGTTGAGAATTAAAGTATACTCCTGTAATACGCTCTTCTGGAACATTGAGGATGTTCGTAATTGTGCAAAAGAGGTAATGATTTAACAGTATCAGATTTTATTGGAGATGTGTCACTTGTGGATCAAAGTTACATCAGTTGTTCTTGTCTTCCTGCTAAGAAGTGTCAAGTGCATGCAAATACTGCTTTAAACTTCTAAAAATCCAATGCTTCTGAGCTTTGATAAGTATCACAGACCAAAAGGTACACTGCTTAGAGGGTGGATAATAATTTTCAAGACCTCCTTTTGATAAAAAGGACATTGGCCTAAAAGTCATGGCAATATTCAATTTTAGATGTTAGGAAACTACATGAACAGTTCTAAACACTTTCTTGGATTTCTTGAATCACTAGTCTGAAATTTTTTTTCAAGACCAAAGTTGTACCTGCAAATGAGAAGTGATGCAGGCCGTCATCTTGAACAGAGAGAGAATTTGGGGTACTTAAAACATACAGGAAAGTATCTTAAAGATTTGTTTTAAAAGAACTTCCTTGAAGTTAGTTCAGGTGCCTTTTTTTTTTTTAATAGAAGTGAAACTTGGGTGTGGCAAAAGCCAGCTTGCCACATCGGTTTGTCATACTGCTCTGAATCACACAGGGTGACTTCAGCATTATGTGCACAACAGAACACTTGACTGCTTCAGGGATGGGGAGCCACAAGTCAGTAGCAGGAAAAAGTTGGTGATGTTGGATTATGTTTGTATCTTGCTATGCAAGCAATTTTTTAGTTAGTGCAGTTCATTTTACTATTCTGTGTCCAAAAAGTTGATCCAAGTTAACAATAGTTACTGTAACTTATATCCTGTATAAGAAAGGCAAGTTCCATGACACAATTCTGAGCAGTTTATAGTCCTTTTTACTGATATTTTATTTCTTGACGTTTATTCCAGTGTTAGGACTGCAATCTTCCTTCTTGCTATTTGCTTGCTGTATGTTTTTAGACTTTCAAAGTTATCATAACTCAGGTGTGATTCGAATGATTTCATTGTGAGAAGGAAGATTTTTATCATAGTCAGTTTTCTTCCGTCGTCCAATTGCTTGCAAAAGTGCTTGGTTCATTGTGCATTTTAGTGGGTTTTGGGAGCTCCTTGATAGCATTAGGGCATGATTTAACCTCTTCAGTAAAGAAATTAGAAATACACAAAGTCTACGGTTTTTGCTTTTCAGTTTGATGCGGAAAACTTCCTCAAACTTCAAACCTTATAAGGCTGGGAAAAGTGCTTCATGTCTTAAACTACAGGCTTCTTAGATGTCTTGAAGTGTGTGGAATAAGATGCGAGATTAGAGCTGTACTCCATGGACTGAAATTTAATACTTGATGTCCTTAAAGCTGCTACGAGGCCAACAAGACACTTAATGAACTATTGCACGGGAAAAAGCTTTCACTGTGCTCTGACCTTCTTGCAGCTATGAACAGATCACTTGGGGACACTGACTGTCAGGAAGGGCTTCAACTCGTTATTTTTCCATTAGCAACATTTTATTCATTTGCAGAATAAATGTAGGGTCAGATTCTGTCTAACGTTTCTGATGTTTTAAGCTTGAGTTTGCCTGCAAACGTGACAGGATCTCATGAGCATCAGAAGTGAGAGCGTACAGCTAGGGCAGGGAGAATGCAGGAATTCAGCATTCTGCAGTTACTTTGAGCTAAGCTAATGTTGAACCATAGACTTGGGCACACTTTGAGTTACAGTGTTTAGTCTCTCGGTAAGGAAAGGCCTGAGTGTGTTCAAATGGAGTTTAATGTCACCCTGCAAAGAATTCTCGCTTGGAGACTGGAACAATAAATTGCACCTGTGGATAGTAAGCTGAAAGATCTATAAATGTGGTAATACAGATAAATAAAATAGACTATTAAATGTAAAATGATAATACCTTTAATATATTTGTCTGGCTCTTTAATGCTGTATTTGGTGGCTGGGAGACAGTTGTTACATGTCCTGTGACCATCTTATCAAAGTAAGGCTAAAAAATAAACAGTTCTCACTTAAAATCCAGATAACATTCAATATGTGGGAGGAAAGTCTCACTATAGCTGAGATGCTTTGGAATTTGCAGTATTTCTTTACAGTGTTTGCTTATGTCTTGTTGCGTGGTGTTTGGTCTCTTAAAATCCCTCCCTCTTGGAAATGTGGCTTAGTTCTGAAGTGCTGCACTCGCATCTCTCCAGCTGCTTTTCCAGATCTTTGCCCTCTATCCTCAATACTATATTATATGTTAACTGGGACTGTTGCCCTTCATATGCTGCAGGGAGGATGTGTAACCAGCTTTGTCCCCCATGGTTTGCATAGCTCCAAATTACACTGGGTTGACTGCAGGGAGTGAGGCAGTATTGCACTGCTCCCCCAAGCAGTTTACTTCTTGTCTTTCTAACCCTTTGCAGCTCTGGGGTGTGAGGCGTTGTCCCCGTGGTAAAGCAAGTGTTGGTCTTTTCTATGCTGGCTTGAAGCTTTGTATTTACACATAAGTTTAACTTCAGTCATTTATAAGATTTGAGATCAAACTAGTTGAAAGTATGTTTGTTGGTTTTGGGTTTTTTTTTTTTACTGTTTATGTTGTAAACATGCTTTCTGGGAATTGGAACCTAATTCTCTGCTCAGTTTCTTGGGGAGAAGAGCATGAGACTCGGGTATAATAGTTAATTGCAGACAGTTATTAAGTTTGAATTAAAATGATTAATTCAAATATGTTTTGAAAATATTGCACAAATGGCTGTGAGATTATGAAGTATTTTGGAGATGGTATTAAATTGTACTTATTGTGGCAACTTTCTCATGTGAGGAAACTACTTGTAATGTGGTGGTAGCCTTTCACTGGTCTCAGATGTATGATGAAGTATATCAGCAATGTTCCTGTGGTGTGTAGAGAGCAAACCTCTGCTGCATCTTGGTTTAGTAGAACCATTGTCACCAGTACAACAAGCTATTCAGAAACTGCACTTCTGTTGGCATAAATGTAGCACACTAACGTTTTCTGCTGCAACAGCAGTGAGGAATTGTGCCTTTTTTTTTTTTACATAGTTATGTGAAAGTTAACCTGATAACGTGAACCTAGCCTTATGTTTATGTAGTGCTTGACTTGATGCTCCAAAGTCATGCTGGCAGATATCCTCACGTTCTCTTGTAAGTTAATTAAGTTGCATGTTGAAGTACTGTTAACTTCTTTTCATACTTTCAAGTGACACTAAGTATAGTCCTCGCCTTGTTTTTACAAATAATGGTGTGATCTGCCTTAGGGCATCAAATTAATGGTTTCTAGCACAAATACATTTGCTAATTTAATCTTTTATCCCCCTTATTGCACCAGCAGTTTTGTAGGGCTTGTGCCACTTTCTACCTTATCACTAAAAAGTTGAAAGTCACTTTGTGGTTAAGGTGCTAGTTCAAAACATCACACTGTGCAAGGGATCTAACAAATAAAGTCTGTGAATCTTTTCATGGTACCATCACCAGATTGTTTGCTTGATGGATTTGGGTTCCTCCTAAGGTGTTAGACTGATCAGGAGCAGCTGAAGTGCAAACATATGTTCCGATCTGCTTGCTCTGGTGCCAGCAAGGTAAGTCCTGGCTGAGCTGGTAACAACTAGTTACCAAGTTGTAGCATTTTCCCTCAGCTGGTTAGTGAGCATGTGTCCAACTTGCTGTAGTGGAGAGAACTACTAAAGCTCTTGTTGGAGGAAGGAAGTATTTATTTGACAAAAGAGCTTTGAACTACAACCCTAAGAAGCAGACATGGTATTTGGTGAAGTTGCAGTTGTGTGAACTTGCTGGTTCCTGGTGTGTCAAATAACTTACATCAGCAATGCATGGGATAAAGTTGTACCTAGTGCACCCTCCGGTGCAAGCTGCTTGGTTGGTTCAGGGATACCCCTGAACTTCATACATGACTGCAGTCATCACATCACAATATATGTATCTTTTTTCTTTTTTTTTTTTTTTTGTCAATGATGAATTGAAAATACTGATGTAAAGCAATAGGTATCCAAATACAAGTTAATTAGTTTCACTGTTTTACAGATGGGGTCGAGGATTCGGTCTGTTGGGTTCCATCTTTGGAAAGGACAGTGCAATAAATCAGTCAAACAGTGTTTTTGGACTCGTGTTTTATATACTACAAATGCTACTTGGTAAGTATTTATTCAGTTTAGAGCCTAAAATATATAATAGGTCTGTGGTGATGAAAGAGGAGTGCATTATACATTGCACAACCTGAAAGAGACCAGATAAATGCATGTGATTTTTTAATCCTATTTTTTAGCACCAGCCTAATGATACATCTGTCCAAAGGGCTTAAAAAAACAACTGATAACAAGCAATTGCATTTTTTCCTGCTATGCTGTTAATATAAGCGTCAAAACAGTTGCTGCACTGGTATTTTCACTTAATGTATTTAGCATTGGATTGCACGATAGAAAAGAGAGGAAATAAAAATGGAATTTACAAGTTTTGCAGGAGTAATAGAGATAGAAGGCAAAAATAGTGCATGAAATGTAATGTATGCATATTTCTTCATAACTATATGATCTGCTATAAAGTATTAATACTGATAGACACAACAAACATGTAACTTTCCCGTAACTCAGGAATACGGAAGATGATTAATACCACACATACTTCTTATCAAAGGACTGTCGTACAGAACCTAGAAGCTCCCCTCCAAATAGCGATTTGTCAGCCATCTTGAACTCATGGTATTTTAAACAGACTTTTATGTAATACAGACTTGCTGAGTAGCCTGCAGTTTGAATTAGAGTGCTTAGGCTTTTTGCTTTGTGTGGAAGGGGGGGAATGAGAGCAGCGGTAGTAACTTTCTCTCTCTTGTTGCAGGTATGACAGCAAGTGCAGTAGCAGCTCTAATCCTCATGACATCCTCCATAGTGTCTGTAGTAGGGTCATTGTACTTGGCATACATTCTGTACTTCGTGCTGAAGGAATTTTGCATTGTCTGCGTCATCACATATTTGCTGAACTTCATTCTCTTTATCATCAACTACAAACGACTAGTTTATTTGAACGAGGCCTGGAAACGGCAACTCCAACCCAAACAGGAATAACGCCTGTTTGAACTTTTGACTGACAGTCCGAAGACCCAACTTCCATTAAGTTTATTTTGCAGTAATTTTTTATTCTCCATATCAGACACTTTCCCTGAGAATTGTAACTGAATTTTTAATTATAAAATTGAAGGGGCCCTAGATAATTTTTTGTGTGCTAATCTTCAACTTAAATGTGGTTATGAAAGAAAGCTCTAATACAATCAAAGACAAGCTTTAACTTTACTTTGAAGGAGTTTTAGCCACAGCAAAACCTAGACTCTCTTCCACCTCCACTTGTGAAGTGGATAACACTTGCTATAAAATATCCTGTATATAAATTCAGGTATAACAAGATGTGGTCATGACATTAAATATTCTAGACTAGCATTACCATATTTAATGTTGCCATGTTTACAGTATATGTATTACTTTTTTTTTAGCTGATGGACTTAGATTTGACTAGGACTTATACTGTAAATAAAATTAGAAATACTCGTTTCATCCCTGGAGAAGTCACTGTACAATCAGTTTCATTAGCCTAGGAGCTGTCAGAGTGTTAGCTAACAGTCAATGGGTACGATGGAAGAAGTGACCTCTATAGAGAGAACACCGTGTTGCTGCACTCGCTGCTAGTGCTTTCATAAGAATCATGGTTGGGGTTTGTTCCTTTTTTTTTTTTTTGTCTCCAGTAAGGAAAATAGAATTTAAGCTGAAACCTGAAGTATGTTCATTAAACCACAACTTCATTACTTTCTGTAAAGAATGAAAATAGCTTAATGTGGTCAATAGAAGGCATACCACTGGGATATGATATGCAGATTGGGGGTTGATGTATCAAAGGACTTAATTTCGATGCAGAGCTGTTTCATTTTTAAACTGCAGTCAGCCAGCCAGTGTTACTAATGTTTGATGTTATATGAATGCTGCAGTATAAAATTGCAATTCGCAGTGGAAACCACTGACTGAGTGGGATAACAAAGTAGTGCACTGAAGAAGCAGTTAATTGATCTTCGTCAGGATCTTTGGTTTGTGCTATATTGGGAAGTGAACTTTAGGCTTGACACACATAAGATCCCTGGGAAGGACAACCTATTTAGTGGGATAAGTAAGTAAATGTGCTCTTGAAAATGAAATGTGATATAGTGCTATCATTGCTCTCTCTAATAACTAATTAGGGAAAAAAAAAATAAACTGCAGATTTAAACCAAGGAACAAAATTGTAAATGTTGTTTCTGCACTCAGTATTCTAAGGCTGAATGTTAAAAGTGCCTTCTGTCTTAAAATCTTAAACCAAATACTTTGTGTTGAACTTGGCAGGCAGAAGTGTCCTTGCTTTAAAAATGAACAAACAAACAAACAAAATTCCCAGCAAACTTGCTGGGCATAGAAGAGTATTAAGAGATCTATTTTAGTTTTTAGATTGAGAAGTGGTAGCAATATTGTGTCAGTTAACTTAATGTGATAGAAGGTTGGTGATGCGATTTGGAAAAGCAAAATATTTGTGTTTCAGACTCTGTGACACCAAAATATATAGGTTCAGCTTTTTTCTGTAATTGGTGCTGTGCTGCTTTTTGCCCTTGTCAGCTTCTAAATATGAAGAATTCCAACTGCGTACCCATTTATTTAAAGAATTAAACTAATTTTAGGATATTTTTTCTTAAACTTGAATGTCAGAGAGACACTTATGTTGTATGGCTAAGTGGATTATAGACACTAAGTTGCTGAGGATAAACTTGACTGTGAAACATGCAGTGTTCCGTAGAGAAAATAGACATTTTAGATTGAATTCACAAAATAGTATTTAAATTACTACTGAAGTAATTTTCTGGTTTGTATCAAGGATGTAGGTGGAAACTGCTTTTATGTATAGAGTTCTGTGGTATGAGTAACATCTGTTGCATGTAACACTAAATTACTTGTCCCTCTTGTCAGTTTTAGACAATTCATTAAATGCGTTTTGTATTGACCAGAGTATAGTTAAAGCTTGTCTTGATGTTTAGTTCTGTCTCTCAAATGCCTTGAACTTTGACATGAGGGGAGTGAGTGATGTTAACCTGGTCCCTCAAGGCTTTACTTTGTTCTTTTACAAGCCTTGAGGCAGTTTCACTGTTTAATATGTTGTATAGATTTATTTTGATGCATTCCTGTGATCTACACTAAGGCATCTTTTCATCCAAGGAAGAGGTGAACACGTGCTGCCTGAAATGGTTAGTTGCAGTGCTAATATCTCAGAACAAGCAGCAATGGAGACAAGTATATTCAATGATTACTTGGTCCAATTTCTGGGTGTAGTGCATATCAAAAAAAAAAAAAAAAAGGAAAAAAGCCCCATCAGCTGAAAGTGTAGATGTTGACTAATTTCGCTGTGTCTTGTGCTTTTCTGTGTGGGCATAGTCTGTTAATTCAGTTTGTTTAGTAAAATTGTTTAGGGCCAGATTTTCAGCAGTCATGTCTGCAGTCCTTGTTTGTGCGTGCATAGGGATCAAATGGGAATTGAGTTTGGTCTCTGGAAGAATTTGCAGCTACACTTTGTGCACGAACTTGCAAATCTGATCCTTAATTTTGAACTGTCTTGTCTTGTGTGCTTTTCTCGCAGTTACTTTTTACTGGAAGTGATTTGCTAGAAATGGTCCTAACTCTTCTACTTTCTCTCTTGTGCTTCAGAAATGCAGTTGGCCTGAATAAAGGGCAAAATAATATTAGCAGTAGAAATTTGGACCTTTTTGCTTCCAGTTTTTTGACTCTTTCCTCGTTGCTCCCAATGATAGAAACAGCATATTTCTTCCAGTAAAATGGCTCGGGTTACAATTAGTAGTGTGATGGAAATCTGACAAGTGCTTCAGGCAACTGCCCCCCTGCTGCCCCCACCCAAAACAAATGTCATTGCAAACGTGTGGTTGAGATTAATTGGAGCCTTACAAATCTGAAGGCAAATTCTTGAGGATACAAGACTGTGGGTAAAAGCTAGTAAATAATACCTGGTCTGGCAGAGGGACGGGGAGCAGTATCATTACCCAGATTCTGGTTGTGGTTTCAACACTTTTGAAGACAGAGCGGGGAAAATGATTCATAATTACTCTACAAACAGTGGTTCTGAATTGGGGCTTTCTTCCCCTCCTGGCTCTCAGAAGTTCCACAAGGAGGGGCAGATTGGAAAGGCAAAAGAACCTCATCCCAAAACCTGCTTAGGAATTAAACATTCCTGAAATCCTCTTACTGTAAGATACTTGCTACTCTTAAGGCCAACGAAGCATTCACGTCTCATTTAGGAAATGAATGTTCTTGGAAGTTTCTTACTGTAAAGTGCTTGCAATGTGAAGGTCAATGAAACATTCCCTACCCCCTTTGATACCTAAAGCGACACCAAATCTCTCTTATTAGGAGGTTTCTGCATACTGTAGTACGCATTTGTCTCCTGCTGTACAGTCTCTTGATTGTTCAAAAACATCGTCAAGGTGCTTCAGGCAGCACTTGATGCTCCTAATTTTTATGGGCTAAAGTCAAAGAGAGATCCAATAGCTTTGGTTCTGCCAATGTTGTTTAAATGTAATCCAGACAAAACTGGTCCAGAAAAGACGAAGTATTCTCGTACCATAAAACTGTGTGAAGCATGACCTAAATATTAGGTGTTTGTTCTGTATAGTATGTTCCATCAACTATTTATTACTAGTGCTTTAAACTCCAAATTAAACATCCATTTAAATGGAGTCATTGGGCAGATGTTCCTTTTATCAATATAGGTTGAAAGATTCTCTATTGGAGGTTTAGGATACAATTTTGCTAACAGGTAAAACAATGTAAATATGTACGAATTCTATTTGTTGCACATAACTTTTTGGTATAAAAAATAAATGTAGAAATTACCTGTGGATGTCTTGCTGCAATCATTCTTACGCTGCATTCATGCAGTCCAGACATAAGAGCTTGAATGAACCCAATTAGAGGCCTTTTTGGACTCAGTCTGAGCCTTAGAAACTGTTTTTTAAAGTCAGTACTGTAATTCTGTTTCTAGAAATGTACTAAGTTGTGATTTTTTTTTTAAAGACGTTGCGTGTTAGCGGTAGAAGGGTGAAGGCACTTGGGTCGCCAGAGATAGCAGTTTGTAGAATTTCTGCAGCATCATAGAGTCTTGCTGAATGTTGTGTGCACATGAGTGTGTAAAGGTTGAGCAGCGTTGACTTGAGGCTTTAACTGTTTACAGTTCTTTAAGCAACATGCAAAGAAAAAATGTTCCGTATGTTATTTTTATCACTTCCCGTTTTCCTTGGTTCTGTAGGTCTGCTTTAACTCCACTCTGACAAGATCGCACATCTGGAAACTGCTGTATGTTTTCCTGGTTTGGGGGGGAGGGAGGTTTTGGGGGGTGGGTTGGGTTTACAATTGCACTGAGCTGTTAAGAACAAGCAGGAACTACGACTGAAACGTGTGCTTACCATACGTGTGGATATTAAACTCTGCATCTGTTTTGTTGGACTGAATGAAAGTAATAGCTTTCTCTTCTGCAACCGCAAGCCCGGTGTGTTATCGTAGGGATCTGAGCCCTAGTTTGTAACGCGTTAACAATGTGAAATCTTGATCTGTATTTTGATGTGGCAGTTGTTGGTATGTCATGGCTGTTGAAATGGGGAAGAAAGTGGGTTAAAAAAAAATATGCCTGGAGATTGAGAATTTGAAATTACTTTCAAACACTGGTAGTGGGCTTAAATACGGTACCTGCCCTTATACTATGGTACATTTGAGCAAGTGTCTTTTTACTGTGGATAGAATTTTATATTCTGGTTTTTAGTTATATATAAAATCTGTAAGCCTAACATGGTATAACCCTAAGGAATGTCGATAGTATGTTTCTTCTTTGCCCTTAAACTCAAGAAAAACTGTTTTGAAGTCTACAGTAAATATGTATGTCCTTATTCTGCACGTGGCAGTGTGGAAGTGTTGGTTTCTCATGTATCACATCTAAAGGAAAGAGAATTTGGCCACCAAACAAGAGCAAACATTTTCTTTATATTGGCAGATGTTTTGGTCATTTTCTTGAGTATTAGCAGAAGAGCCAGTTGCAGGAAAAAGTAGTCATAGCAACAGTTACACACAGTATCTGCGGATTGGAATAATGAAACTACTTAATTGTGCCAACTTCCAAAAATCAGTGGGCAGCCTCCAATCATGTGGTTCTCCTACGGGCAGTGCTCCTCTTGGGACAGCTCCGGGATGTTGCAATAAGAAGGTTGCAGATTCTGAGCTCTTCTGTGAGCATTGGCATAATCTATTCCAGTCTAAACCCCTGGCCTTTAGAGTCCTCCAAGCCTGGTGTGCAGCTTGAAACGGATGTTACTGTCTCGAGTAGCGCATGCACATTAATTTACACATCGCCCTATCCCAGAATGCTTCAGGCCAGTACCAAAAAAAGCTTAGATCAAATTTAACCTCTAGACTAGTATTACTGTACTACATAGTAACAATTTAGTATGAAGGAAGCCCTTCCATGCTGGAAGGTAAAACCACATCGAATAGCAGCAGTGCTGGTACTGTGATAAAAATAAATAGTTTTAAACCAAGTTCAGTTAATGTAAGACCTACCTATCTAACATATTCCACCTTGCTGCTTTAGTATGCATTCCATACTGTATTGGAGTATGTTGGGTATCCTCACATAGGATAATAGTGGCTTGTTCACTTCCTGAAAGCTGTGAACTCTCAGCATTTATCAGCCAGCCACATACATTTTGTCC